CGATGCCTCAAGTTTTTCGTTCTCAGTCTTATGGACTTCTTTTGTTGGACGAAATTTCATCAAAATGATTATGGCTTCATCCTTTACTTATTATTTCTCCTGAAGTTGTTTTAAGCCATTTTCTTCTTGAATATTTGAGTTTGAGAGTGCAGTCATGAGCAGGACTGTTCTGTTGAGAAACCATCACATAACTGCTATGCTTTATTGGTTGTTCTATGACAGTCTCTTCTTGCCTTTAATCGTTATTTCATCATGCTTCTTGCTTTTTGTCAAACATCACTTGTTTTTTTGAAGACTAATGCGTTTGATGGACTTACACTAGAGGTGTGGATGCAACACTTTGGAACATCGCAGAAGTTTGTCGTCTCAAGTTTCTTACTCCTTATTTAGTATTTTGATTGACTTTTTGATTGAACTCGCCAAGGGTCTTCATGCAGATGGGAAGATCCTTATTCTACCCATTCCGCCGTCTGTCTATAAAGGGTATGATACTTCTTCCTCTAACTCTTAGTAAGAAACTTGGAGGGACGATTTGGCAAAACTCATTTTGACATGCTGGTAAACTACATCGATTTCTTCAGTCTAATGACCTATGACTACTCTAATCCCTCTGCGTAAGTTCTTGATTTTTGTGAATTTTTTCTTGAAAATAGACCTGGCGAGAATGCCCCAATTAGTTGGGCAACTCAGTGTGTCAAAAACCTTGTCCCAGATGAAAATGGTGGTAAACACCCATCTACAAAACGAGCCAAAATACTCCTCGGTGTTAATTTTTATGGATATGACTATGAACCTGCCAAGAGACAGGGCAGGGCTGTCCTGAGTCATGAGTGAGCTTACATTTTCCGTGGTAATTACTAGCTCCACTCTCTTAGTGTAGTTGAAGTGGTGAAAAGGTATTCTCCTGTTTTTAAATGGCATGAAGAAAGTGCTGAACACTCTCTGGAATACACGTGAGTTAACTTGTACTGATTTACTTTTCTTATTGTCTTTAATATTTACTTACCTGTGAATTTGCTTTAGCTGCCCTTAGGGCATTTAATACTCATGCCAAATCGATCATCATTGCTTGCGAAACGTATTTACAAGAATATGTTATTTAGGAATCAAGCATAAATAAGTATCGCGGTTCCATGGTCAATTCACTGCAATAGTATTATTTTAAGCCCACTCTATCAGTATAGGACAACAGGCTGATCACCGTTAACTGAAAACACTCCATGACACATTTCCATTTCTGAGTTCAGGTAAGCGAGACGGGAAGTAAAATGCGTTTGAACTTGGCAGTTAGCCTTGTTATTATTGCTGCCTCGATCGTCGCAGATACCAATTCGGTTTCAGTACCCCTAGTAAACATACAATTCTCCACTTATCTTAGTCACCATTTGCATCATTCGTACCATAATTCTGTGTTTTTTTCACTATTCACTAGGGATGACAGCCAAGTAAATCATTCGCTTTTCTTCCCCACTGCGTATTCCGTTGCAAGGCGAGTTGCAATAGCAGAAGAACTTGGGGTCGGACTCTCCATCTGGGAAATTGGACAAGGCTTTGATAGTTTATTTGAGCAGCTCTAGTTCGGTTTTCTATGCTTTCTATTTTGCATTTGACATATTTTCCTTTCCTCATCTCCATCATGAAATTGCCAAGTCAACACGTGCTTACCCTTTACAAATCCTCGATTATTCTAGTCCCGATTAACATTAAATATTTTCCTCTCAAGAGCTGTTTGTTTTATCCAGTACTAAGGTGAGGTTTAATTCTGGTCTTTAAGAACATACTTTGACAGGGGGTTGGGTATGGATATTTTTAATGGTTAAGCCAATTTGAGAGTGCAAGCCGAGATACTTAAGATGAGAATTTGGGAGCTAGAACTCCTTGTCGGTTTCCTCTTTTGCTACTTGCTTCTGGTAACTATGAGGGTGCATTGATCCGGGCCTCAGGTGGACGGCGTTAAACCGTTTGATGCCGGGTTAGTAATCGTAACGCCTTGGCAGTTTATGAAATGGCAGTTGAAGGAGGCTTGAGGGGTGACGGGCAGGCACAACCAACGTCCTAATGCAAAACAATGATTGCACAAAACATCATAGCGGGCGAGAGTGCTTGCAATGCTTTGTTTAGGTGAATGTTCGGTCTCCAGCGGTTACTTAAGATCCGTCTGGTCCTTGATTGCGCGGTCTGGCCTTCGGGTCAAGTTCAGATTTAGCTCTTTTTCCTTCTGGAATACATGCATTCAGCTCCCTTTACTGTTTTCGTCGGCTTCATGAGACTCTACAACTTTGGTGTCTACTTTGCCCATGAAAGCGAGGACTGGTTTTTGGGACATGTCAAGACTCTGCCTTCTCGGAGTACATTTTTCTGCCCAGTGTAAGGCCTCCTTTTTACCTGGTAGGCAACTCCGGAGTGCTGTAACAGTGATGCCTTTAAGATGTATTTTTATACTTAATGATAATTTTTCAGAATAGCCTCGTGGTCCATGATAGTTTAACCAAATCATCCTCATAAATGCTTTATAGCTTTCGCATCACAAAATAAATCTCTTTGCTTAGTAATTTTATTTCCATCAGAACAATATTTCCGTACACCATTCTAAAGAGCGAATTGTTTTTTGTTTTACTTTGCACAACAAACTTAGTGGAAAAGGCTCGATTTCTGAGATTATCGAGGCGCTCTGCTTAAAAGCGACGCACGCAGATATGTCGTCGGCGGCTCCAAAGAAAAGTCAAGAGTTTGCTGATAAAAGTAAACCTCAAGCTATTCGTGACAGCAATATTGTCGCTGCTAAGGGTACTTGTGTATTTAGGTGGTTATATCCTGTATAGCTGTTGCTGATGCAATTCGCACGAGTCTGGGCCCTAAGGGAATGGATAAAATGGTTCGTTGAGCTTTTTTCGTCATTTGCGCGTTACCTACTCACATTACGATTTTACCGGTTAGCCTTTCTTATACAAGCTTTGAGTTTCTTCTGCAAGCATTGATTTCATTGAAATTCCCTTTCACGGTTTGCCTTGTGCGTCCTTTTAGATTCTAGAACCTAAAGGCGATGTTACGATAACGAATGATGGTGCAACAATTCTCAAGCAAATGAAGCTTCTACATCCAGCCGCAAAAATGGTACTTATTCTTTTTTCATCATGCGTTTTTAGCTTGTGGAGCTTTCTAAGGCACAGGACATTGAGGCTGGGGATGGGACAACTTCTGTTGTTGTTCTGGCAGGGAGTCTGCTCGATGCAAGTGCCAAACTATTGAATAAAGGGCTTCATCCTACTGTAATCTCCGAGGCATTCCAATTAGCAGCTTCAAAAGCTTGCGAAGTTATCTCTGAGATGTCGCAGCCCATTGATCTTAATGACAAGGATATGCTTCTCAAAATTGCTTCCACTTCGTTAAATTCCAAGGTTGTATCTCAGTATTCAAGTATTCTTTCGCCAATTGCTGTCGACTCGGTTTTGGCTGTTACCGATTCGAATGATCCTGACTCAGTCAGCCTCAAGGATATACGGATTGTGAAGAAACTCGGGTAGGTTGTTTTCCTGTTTTGTTTAAGCTTATGCTGTTTTTTGTTTGCCAGTGGGACCGTTGAGGATGCTCAACTTATCGATGGTCTTTTGTTGAACCAAAAAGTTGAATCGGGCTGTGGAGTTCGTCGAGTTGAAAAAGCCAAGATTGCTTTGGTGCAATTTTGCATATCCCCACCAAAAACTGACATGGAGAACAATGTGGTTGTTACTGACTACACACAAATGGATCGCATTATGAAGGAAGAGCGGCAATACATCCTCAACATTGTTAAGGCCGTCAAGAAATCTGGTGCTAATGTAGTTCTTGTGCAAAAAAGTATTCTTCGTGATGCCGTCAACGATCTTGCTCTGCACTACTTCGGCAAACTCAAAATCATGGTTGTGAAGGATATCGAGCGTGATGAAGTTGAGTTTATCTGCAAGACTATAAATTGCGTACCGGCTGCCAGTGTGGATCATCTCACTCCTGAAGTTTTGGGGAAAGCAGATCTTGTTGAAGAAATTGAAAGCGGTGGCTCCAAGATTGTGAAAATTACTGGCATTCAAAACAAAGGTCGCACGGTCTCTGTCCTTCTCAGAGGATCCAACAAGTTGGTTTTAGAGGAGGCCGACAGGTCCCTTCACGATGCTCTTTGTGTAATTCGTTGCCTTGTCAAGCGTCGGTGGGTATTGCTTTCTTAATATGGCTACGCATTACTTATTCGATCACTCATCCTGCTTCTTTCTCATTGCAGAGCTCTGATTGCCGGTGGCGGAGCTCCCGAGATTGAAATTTCTCAGAAGTTAGCGCATTTAGCAAACCAGACTACTGGGTTGGAGCAGTATTGCTTAAGAGCATTTTCCGACGCCATGGAGGTTATTCCTTACACACTTGCAGAAAATGCCGGTCTTAATCCTATTCAGACAGTTACCGAACTCAGAGCGCGCCACTCAAATGGAGAAGTTAACTGTGGCATCAATGTCCGCAAGGTGTGGATCCAGTTATTTGCCAGTTATCCGTTTACTACTCTAAGCTTTATTATTCTGTTTCTTTTTTATTTAGGGTGTTGTCAGTGACATGATGGCGGAGAATGTCCTTCAGCCTCTTCAGGTCACCTATAGTGCTGTAACTTTGGCGACAGAAACAGTTCGGAGCATTTTAAAGATCGATGACGTGGTGAGTAAATATTGTTTATTTTATTGCTGAGTTTCTCTGTTTGCTTTTGCTGGACTTCTTTCTAATAATAATAATATGCTTTGAAGGCGGGAATGTAAATCAGGTTTGTTTTAACCGAGACGTTTCCTTTATTCTACCCATTTTTCGTTGGTTCTCTTTGGACTTCGAAGTAGTTATTTCTGGTATTTACTTTGTAGATTAACGCAGTGCGTTTTTAGGGTATCGTTGGACTCCCGTTTTCTGCAACTGTACTGTTAGTTTTAATAAAAGGTGGTTTGACTATTGGGTTTCTTTTTTGCTTTTGGTTGGGACTGTCCTGTTTTAAGTGGTCTATTTGACATTCGCTAGCAGTTGTCATTTAATGGTTTGATCACTTGTGCTTAACCCGGTACTTATAGGACGGTTCTGTCTATTATAGTAGCTT